CTAATGAAAAGGCTCCATATTCCCAGACATGCTCAGGCTCTCTCACCACCAAGCTTTCACTCATCTCTCTACCTTCCCCGTTCTCTACCCAGGGAACTTCTACAAGTCCTTTGAGACCCAGAAAAGGCCACTCCCCACTACCCCAAGCCTTCTACACCCATCCCCCAGCCAGGCAGAAATTTTGTTTTCCTCCTGAGTCTCACAGCACCACCCCCACCTATATCATAGCATCTGTCACTCACTCTGCCCTGTAATTACTGTCAGCCCTCCAGTCCACGGACTCTGCATCCACAGCTCAATCTACAGTGGATCAAAAATATTAGAACATAAAAATTCCAGAAAACTCTAAAAGGCAAAACTTGAATTTGTCATATGCTGGCAACTATTTACATAGCATTTACATTGTATTAGGTATTATAAATAACCTAGAGATGATTTAAAGTATACGGGAGGATTGCCAATAAGTTATGTGCAATACTATGCTATTTTGTATAAGGGACTTGAGCATCCTCTGATTTTGGTATCCGCAGGGATCCTGGAACCAATCCCCTGCGGATACCAAGGGACGACTGTATCTAATAATACCTCTGCCAGACAGTTTGCATCAGCAGCCTTGCTTAAGCTTTCTAAGAAACCTTTGAGGTAGGTCATGGGGACGATGATGCAAAGACTGATTAGGTGAAAAGTCTGCTACAGTCCTTCTGCATATGCTGCTTGACCCTTAAATCCTCACAACAGACAGATGAGGTAGGTGCTGTTATTATCAGGCCCATGTTACAAATGAGGAAACTGAGGCCCAGAGAGGTAAGTGGTAGAGCCAGGATCTAACTCAGGAAATGCTCCAGCCCTTTTACAGATAAGGACACTGACACTCAGGGAAATAATTTGCCCAAATTCAACATTTTCTTAAGTAGCACAGTCACAATTTGCACCCAGGAGCCGCTGATCCTACAAGGCCCTTGTTTAAACCTTCTACTTAGTAATCCACAGGCCAAGCCCTTCTTTTTTCCTGGTCCTGGGACAAGGATTGTTTCCAGTTTGGAACTATTACAAATAGGGTTGTTATGAATATTCATGCACAAATTTTTATAATGCTTTCATTTCTCTTGGGTAAATAATTGGAAGAGGAATGACTGAATCACATGGTAGGTGTACATTTAACTTTTTAAGAAACTGTTTTTCCAAAGTGGTCAAACCATTCCACGCTCCCACCAACAACATCTGAGAGTTCCAGTTGCTCCACATCTTCACCAACACCTGGTATGGTCAGTCTTTTTGATTCTAGCCACTCTAAAAGATCTGTAGTGGTATAATATTATACTTTAATTTGCATTTTCCTAATGACTATGATATTGAATTTCTTTCCACGTATTTATTTAGCAACCATATATTTTCTTTGGTGAAGTGTCTGTTCAAATCTTTGCCCATATTTTAATTTTTGTTTTCTTAGTGCTGATTTGTGAGAGTTCTTCATGTATTCTGCAAACAAGTCTCTTGCCAGATATGTAGTCTTTGTTCTCCCAGTTGTGGCTTACCTTTTCATTTTCTTAACAATGTCTTTCAAGTGGTAAGTTTTAATTTTGATAAAGTAAAATTTATCAATTTTTTTATGGATGGTGCTAATTTATCTCAGTGATAGTTTATCATTTTTAGTGTATAGATCTTACATATATTTTGTCAGATTTCTCCCTAAATATTTCATATTTTTGATGCCGCTGAAATTTTAAAAATTTCCATTTCAGACTGTTCGTTGCTAATGTGTAGAAATATAATTGTTTCATATATTGATCTTATAGCCTACATTCTTGCTAAACTCACTTATTAATTCTAGTGGCTTTTTTTGTAGATTCCATAGGATTTTCGACAAACGTAATCATATTGTCTGTAAAGATAGTTTCACTTCTTCCTTTCCAATCTTAGTTGCCTTTTTTTTTTTAATATTATTGTACTAGCTATTTGGCTGTTGTTCAAAGTTGTCCCACAGTTCACTAAAATCTTGGGGAATTTTTTAAAGTATTTTTTCTCTCTGTGTCTCATTTTGCATAGTTTCTATAACTATGTCTTTGAGTTTACCGATCTTTTCTTCTGCAATGACTGATCTGCCATTATTTCCATCCACTGTATTATTTACCTCAGACATTGTAGTTTCCATCTCTAGAAGTTTTATTTAAAAAAAAAGTTTTTAATTTAAAATTACAAGTGCCGCTTTTTTGTTTTTAAGTTGATTCATGTCTCTACATAGGCAACCTTTCTTCTGGTTAAACATATGAAATACATCTGTAATAACTATTTTAATGTTATTATCTATTAATTCTATCATCAGTGTTGCTTCTGGGTCAGTATCAATTGATTGATTACCTGTTCATTATGGACGGTGTTTTCCTGCTTCTTTGCATGCCTAGTAATTATTGATTGGATGCCAGAATCTTACCTTTTTGGGTTCTGTATAGTTTTGTATTTCTATAAATAATCTTGAGTTTTGTTCTTGGAAGTAATTAAGTTACTTGGAAACAATTTCATCTTTTTGATAGGTGGGACCAGAAATGTGTTTTGTTAGGGTTACTTTTTCCCCAGTACTCAGCCAAGACCCTTCTTAGTATTCTAATTGATGCCCCTTGAATTACGAGACTTTCCACTCTGGCTATCAGGCTATGAGGAACAGGCTCTATTTCTCAGGCTTGTGTGAGCCCTGAGCACTATTCCCTCTTATCCTTTTGGGTGGGTCGCTCTGCAGCCTCAGATAATTTCTAGTTGATTAATACTCCGCTGAAGGGTGGAGGGGTACCCGCTGCAGATCTCCAGGGCCCTCATTCTTGCAGGCTCTCTCCCTACAAACTCTAGCCTCTCTGGCATCCCCCAGGTTCCCAGTTATGTCTCCTTAATTCAGGAGACTGTCAGGCTCTGCCTGAATTCCCCTACCCCTGTGCCATGGCCTGGCAACTTTCTCCAACAGTATGATCACTGTTTGTCATTTCCTGATATGCAATGAATGCCATTGAGTGCCATTTTGTGTGTATGTGTGTGTGGGGGGAGGTCTTTTGTTGTCGTTATTTCAGATGGGAAGGTAAATCTAGTCTCTGTTACTCCATCTTAATCAGAAATTCCTGTCATCAGAGTTGGTACTGGAATTGGTCATGGTTGGCTCTGAGCTGCATCTAGGAGGTTTTTTCTCTCTTACACCACGTGGCACAGCTGGCCCCAGGGAAGGGCTGATCCTAGTGTGCTCTCAAGCTCTCAGGCACTGGGTGCCAACCAGAGCAGTAGCCAGGAAGAGGAGGTAACCAGTATGCCCCATGGGAAGTCGAGCTGGGGTATTTCATTATAACTTCGTCAACAAAATGATTCTGCGCTGAGGTTCCAATGCCTTCTCCTCCTTCTGCCATCCCAGCTGGAGGCTCTGACAACTCTGACCTCTCCTCTGGTTACTGGCCAGGGCTGGAAGGGGTTGGCGCCTGCAGCCTCCCAGCTGGCAACATTAACTACTACCTAGCAACAACAGTAAGAATTTCCTTTTTTAAAGCAACTGCCATTTTCCTGACCCTGGGCTACTTAGTAAGAACCTGAGGCTGGAGGACGTAAAGTGACTCCCCTAAGGTCACATAGCTAGAAGGGGCAGAATCATGGTTTAGCACTTACCTCCAGAGACCAGGTGTCTTGCCTGCCAGGAAAGAGCCTCCATTTTGGCCCGGGCTCCTGTGTCTAGTTTTGACTTGTGTCTGCCTCTGGGCCTGAAGCCCTATCTGGAACCTGCTTAGTTATGGGAGGTGACATGGGGGGAGATGGGTGGGACACACACTGGCTTTGTAATCAAACAGACCCAAGTTCAAATCCTACTTTCTAATGGTGTGAACTTGAGGGAGTCACGTACTCTTGCTAAGCCACAGGGATCACTACTACAAAATCAAATAATGGTATTACTTCACAGTATTGAGGTGAGGATTAAATGAGATATTTCTAAAAAGTACTTACTGGAGTTCCCTGGTGGTCTAGTGGTTAGGATTCGGTGCTTTCACTGCTGTGGCCCAGGTTCAATCCCTGGTCAGGGAACTGAGACCCCGCAAGCCCGGGGGCGTGGCCAAAAAAAAAAGTTTCCAGTCCAGCGTACAAAGAGCTTGGAAGTCATCGCTCCATACTAAAAACAAGTTAAAAAGCTGGACAAGCTTTGAAAAATCAACAACTCTTCTTAGAGTTGTTAGAGAAGTGAGGTCACAGGGCAAACCACTGCACTGAAAATTGGAGAGACAGACAGGTGAATGCAGAGATTCACGATCTGCCACAGTAGAAACCAATGTGTAGACACTTCCACAAAACTAGCACTGGATGGGAAAAGCTAAGCTGTCATTGAAGAACTGCTGAAGACTCCGTGCAGACATGGAGAGTTTAAAAGCCCAGGTGGGGGCCCAAACACAGGGGGACCCCACATGTTTGTGAATTTCACCTCCGGAGCTCTGCCCCTCTGCTTCTGGCAAGGGCAAGGGAAAAGGAACATTCTGCTCTCCTTAACAAGACCTGCCCTCAGGAGAAACTATTTTACCAATGCCTAACCTATTGGAATTTTATCAGAGCCTAACCTACATGGAAGGGCAATACCCAACTCCAGCCCCCTCCAGCCATCCTATCCTGTCCCACCTAAGGGGGGGAAACTGAGAAGCACTTATGAAGTTCACAGTCGAGGGGTGCAGGTTTGCTAAAAGACAGAGACCTAACCATAGGGCTACAGAATGCCTCTCATCCCCCATAACTTTACCACCATATCACTAAAGGTCTATTTACTGGAGTGCCCTCTACCCAGTACATCATATCCGGCTTTCAATAAATAATTACAAGGCATACTAAAAGGCAAACACAGTTTGAAGAGACAGAGCAAGCATCAAAACCAGACTCAGACATGGCAGGGATGTTGGAATTATCAGACGGGGAATTTAAAACAACTATGGTCAATAGATTAAGAGCTCTAACGGAAAAAGTAGACAGCATACAAGAACAGATGGGCAGGGAATTCCCTGGTGGTCCAGTGGTTAGGACTCCACACTCTCACTGTCCAGGGCCCAGGTTCAACCCCTGGTCTGGGAACTAAGCTCCCACAGCATGGCCAAAAAAAAAAAAAAAAAACCAGATGGGCAATGTACACAGAGTTGGAATTCCTAAGAACGACAAGCAATGCTAGAAATCAAAAACACTATAACAAAAATGAAGAATGCCTTTGCTGGGCTCATTAGTAGACCAGGCACAGCTGAGGAAAGAATCGCTGAGCTTGATATTTCAATAGAAACTTTCAAAACTGAAAAGCAAAAAGAAAAGACTGGGGAAAAAATGGGACAGAATAGCCAAGAACTATGAGACAACTACAAAAGGTGTAACATACATGTACTGGGAATACCTGAAGGAGAAGAGAAAGAATCAGAAGCAATATGTGAAGGAATAATGACCGAGAACTTTCCCAAATTAAGGTCAGACACGAAACCACAGATCCCGGAAGCTCAGAGAACACCAAGCAGAATAACACCCCCCACACACCCAAAAAACAACAACCCTGCACCTATTATGTTCAAACCACAGAAAATCAAAGATAAAGAAAAAACCTTGAAAGAAGCCAGAGGAAAACAACACCTCATATGTAGGGGAGCAAAGATAAGAATTACATCCAAATTCTCCTCAGAAACCAGGCAGGCAAGAAGAGAATAAGGTGAAACTGAGTGCTGAGAGAAAAAAACCACAAACTAGAATCTGTATCCTGTGAAATTTCCTTCAAAGTGAAGGAGAAGTAAAGACTTCCTTAGACAAACAAAAATTGAGAGACTTTGTTACCAGTAGACCTGCCTTGCAAGAAATATTAAAAGAGCTTCAGAGAAAAGGAAAATGATGATACGTCAGAAATTTCGGTCTGCATTAAAAAAGGAAGAGTATCAGAGAAGGAATAAGTGATGGTAAAATAATAATAAATTTAATTTTTTTAATTGATCTTAACAGATTAAAGTTTCAAAATAATAAACAGCAACGTGTCTGATGATGATAACGTGTATATGAGATGAATGACGGCAATGATACAAGAGATGGGAAGGAAGAATTAGAAATATTTGTTATGATAAGGTACTTGCACTACTGTAAAGGAGAATAGTGTTATTTGAAAGTAGACCTGGATTAGTTGTAAATGTACATTGAAAACTCTAGGGCAACCACTAAGAATATTTTTAAAAATTATAATTGATATGCTAAGAAAGTAGAAAAAAATGGAATCATATAAAATGTTCAACTGAAACAATATAAGGCAGAAAAAGAGTGGAAGACAAAAATAGGAACAAAGAACAGGGCAATGAATAAAAAACAGTAACAAATATGGTAGATATTAATCCAACTATATCAATAGTCACTTTAACATCAATGGTCTAAATATACCAATTAAGAGACAGAGATTGTGAGAGTAGATCAAAAAACAAGACTTAACTATATGTTGCCTTCAAGAAACCCACTTTAAATATAAAGATACGTGTAGATTAAAAGTAAATGGATATGCTTCCTTGGTGGCACAGTGGTTAAGAATCTGCCTGCCAATGCAGGGGACACAGGTTCGAGCCATGGTCCGGGAAGATCCCACATGCCGCAGAGCAGCTAAGCCCGTGCGCCACGACTACTGAGCCTGTGCTGTAGAGCCCGTGAGCCACAACTACTGAAGCCTGTGCGCCTAGAGCCTGTGCTCCGCAACGAGAGGCCACAGCAATGAGAAGCCCGCGCACCACAAGGAAGAGTAGCCCCCGCTCGCCACAGCTAGAGAAAGCCCGTGTGCAGCAACGAAGACCCAACGCAGCCAAAAATAAAAAATAAATAAGTTAAAAAAAAAAAGTAAATGGATGGAGGAAGATATTCTATGCTCACCCTAATCAAAAGTAAGCTCGAGCAGCTATATTGATTTCAGACAGAGCTAACTTTAGAGCAAGGAAAGTTATCAGGGATAAAGAGGGGCATTACATTGTGATAAAGGAGTCAACTCTCCAAGAAAACATAATAATCTTTTTTTTTTTCCCCCCCCGGTACGCAGGCCTCTCACTGTTGTGGCCTCTCCCGTTGCGGAGCACAGGCTCAGCAGCCGTGGCTCATGGACCCAGCCACTCTGCGGCATGTGGGGTCTTCCCGGACCGGGGCACGAACCCGTGTCCCCTGCATTGGCAGGCAGACTCTCAACCACTGCGCCACCAGGGAAGCCCCATAATAATCTTTAATGTGTATGCACCTAACAAAAGAGCATCAAAATACATGAGGCAAAAACTGATAGCACTGCAAAGAGGAATAGATGAATCCACTATTACAGCTGGAGATTTAACATCCCTCCATCAGAAATGGATGGATCCAGCAGGCAGAGAACCAGTAAGGACACAGCTGAACTCAATAGCATCATCAATCAGCTGGATATAACTGACATCTATCAACTACTTTATCCAACAAGAGAAGAATACACATTCTTCCCAAACTCACATGGAAAATTCACCAAGATAGACCACATCCTACCCCATAAAACATATCTTCACAAATTTAAAACAATAGAAGTCATACAAGATCTCCTCTCAGACCACAGTGGGATTAAACTAGCAATCAGTAACAGAAAGCTGGGAGGGAAGTCCCAAATTACTTGGGGATTAAACAACACACTTCTAAATAACATATGGGTCAAACAAGAAATCTTAAGAGAAATTTAAAAATATTTTGAAATAAATGAAAATACAACTTATCAATACATGGTAGCCATCGCCATTATCCTCATTCTCTGGCTGCAGCCCTGCCCCAATCATAGCTGAGCTCACCATGATTATCACGCACTGGATCACTCAGGTCCCAGCTCTCAGGTCTAGCTAGTTTACTGCATCTTGGTCTTCCCAATTGTCATCACTCTAAAAACTCAGCACACCTTGAGCTGGAGTCCACCTGTGTTATCACAGGTATTGAAGAAAGTTAATTAGGGACCTCCTTATTGCGAGCATTTGTACAGGCAGCTGATGTCGTAATCTAACAATGGAATGGGCCACCTGGTCAGAGAGTGAGAGCTGTGTTTCAGTAGAGATGGCCTAGCAGTCAGAACAGCTGCCAGCCACACTGTTATAGAGGAGATGCCTGCACCAAATAAGGTGTGGACTCCAGGACCCTCTATGGTTCCTTCCAAATGCAAGATGTGGCAGATTCTAAAATTCTCCATGAGTCTCAGAATTTACAATCCTTAGGCTAGATTATTCCAAGATTCTCCTTCTAAGATTATTTGATTTTAAAGTTCTCTGAGTCTTGGGTTTCATAAGTGGTACTAAATGTGATGAGGTATACAAAAATTGTTACCTAACACATGGCCCAGAAGTCCTTTTGGGAAGAGAAGGAACTACCTTTGTGGAGGAAATGATTTGATAAGGGTAGAGACCCCATAGAGAGCCTGGACTCCTGAGGAATGAACTGGAAGGGAGAGAGGGAGTGGGGTGGGGGGGGGAGAAGTAAGGTGGGGAAAGGGAGTACATGACCCATCGTACTCTCTAGATGCCAGTAGGCTGTGCTCCATGAGATGTGCTCCTTCTCTGGAGCATTCCAAAACCTCTGTAAAGTCTACTCTCAGGAATGCTTGAGAGGAGTGATTGTGGGCACACTCCCAAAGGCACCTGAGCAGGTGAAGCCAAGCCAGAATTCATCCTCAAAGAACCTTGGAACCAGGGGTAGGCCAGATCCGTGAAGACTTCAGGTCCCTAGGCCAGGAGTAGACGGTAGCTGGAGAGTCTGAGGGGAGCCTTATGTGAGGGGGCCAGGCATGGGCAGGAAGACAGCCCCAGGTGCCCCCATAGTCCATCTTCACAGGTAGCCAGAGAAGGGAGGTGGTCCGGGAAATAAAGGTGCTGGAGCCAGGCATCCTTTGCTGCTTTGACTTGTAGATTCTCCTCCCTTCAGGGCCAGGGCACCGTCTGACAGCCAGCCTGCCTCACGGGAACCCTTCTCTAGGGCTCGACCTGGCCCTGACTCCTATGTGTGGACGGAGGTCCTGCTGTGGACCTCTTAAGTATCTAGACACAACCCAGCTGCATCGGCTGACCTTGAGCCTGCTCAAGCCCAAAGCCCAGGAGCTCTTGGAGTTCCTGCCTGCCTCAGCCTCTCTTTGACCTCGAGCCCTGGAAATGCCCAGCTGCCCTGAGTGGGGCCAGCTCTGCAGCCCATCTGCCCCGTGCCCACCTCAGTTCTTGCACCCAGAGGTGCTCACGCCTGCTGAGCCACCTGCCCTTGCCTCGGCTGCCCCTCCCTGGACTACGTAGGGTCCTCTTCACTGGCTGCTCCGCCCGGCCTCTCCTTCTCCAGCCCATTCACCCAAATCAGCTTCTGAGATGCAAATCTGACCGTGTCCCTCCCCTGCTCACAATCTTCCAATGGCTCCCCATTGCCTATGGCAGAAAGCTCTAGTCCCTTAGCCCAGCATTCAAGGCCCTTCATGGATGGCCCCTCTGAGCTCTCCAGCCTCCACTTCCTCTGTCCCTTGACCCTTCCTGGTGCCGGAGTCATTGCAAACATCACTCCTTTACACGTGCCGTTCTCACTGCTTGGCGTCCTCTCCTTAAGTTCCTGCTCATTCGTCAAGGATCAGTCTTGCCTTCGTTCCTCCCTGGGTTTATAGCAGCCTGCGCACAGCTCCACAGTGGCCATAATCAGCTTGTATCAGTATTAGAGCTCTTTGCCTGTGTTTGTTTCCCTACCCGGTGGGACTTCCATGTGAGGCCCGATTGCGCCTGCAGCTTCATCCTCACTGTCTGGCACGTGGTACCTACGTGCTGAACGAATGAGGGAAGAAATGAACGGATGGCAGTGAGTGACAGTGACATCCGCAGCACCCACACTGGTGATGGTGAGGGTGGGGCTGGGGTGGGCAAGGGATGATGATGAAACAGAAGAACAGAACAAAAGCATGAAGCCACAAGGAGACGGCTCCAAGACAGAGGCAAGGAAGTTGCTGCAACACGGTTCTAACTCCATCTCTCTGCATGGGTCCATCCTGTACTGGAGCTGCATGCTCTGAAATCCTGGGAATCCCTGTCATTTCCTCCTGTTTGTTATTTCTGCTG